GCTCTATTGATTCAGCTGGCTATATAGTCGTAATGGCTAGGCCAGTCCTATGTCCTACACCCTGAGCACACAGTATGCAGACAGCATCTATACATTATGATGAATGTCTCTTCAGATTCATCATATAATCTTAACCGGGCTTTCTGAAAAATGACTCACTCAGAGAGGTTCAATATTTAATTAAGAGGCAAAATCAGCTGAGTAAAAGTTTTTTAAAGGCTATTGTGCACTTGTCTGAGCGTTTGCTATTCGTGGTTTGTGCACCGCTTGTGCTGACCCTGCATGTCCTTTTCTTCCAGTAAATGTCAACCCCACACATTCTCTCTCACCTTGTCCCAGTTTGAATGACCGACACATGAACCATCCCTTTAGACAGGGATGCAGTAAGCGGCCTCACTCACCGCCACATGCGCAAACACGCTAGTGTCTGAGTTTACAGACACACACCAGTGCACATGTTGGCTCCTTTGCTGCGTTTTCATTTCCAGGAAACCTCAGTCCTTTGCAAAAAGACAAATGGCCACTTATTTAACTGTTACCCCCAAATGAGAAAATATCCCTCTTCTTCACCACATGATGATTTCCCTTCAAAGGTATCCAGTCGACTCGAGTTCAGTCCACATACTCCATTAACTCTGTCTCTCCATCTGTCTTTCTCCCTTTCTGTCCCACTGTTCCTCGTTTACTGTTGCATTTATTCACACAGACATGCACGCACATAAACACATAGACACACGGGCTTAGTGGTTATCCTGTGGGGAGAGGCCTGTGGATCCTATTAGCAACAGCTATGTTCAGAGGCAGTCTACCGTATTTCACTTTGGATTTTGGCCCTGCATCACATTTTTTTAATTTTTCTTTCTCTCTCACACACACACACACACACACACAGACATGCACACATAGCAACGCAGCAGAAGAATGGTTGTTTGCCACTAATAATTAAAGTAAATGTTTTGATTGGCTCCAAGGCTCCCTTGAAGAGACGCACCATTAAATATGGGAGAAAGCTGGAAGTCATCCTCATCCAGCTCGCAGTACATTTGCTTATATTTGATGCCAGCGAGAAGCAGGGGCCATGCATCCGCCCCACCTTCAAAGGAGTCAGGCTTTTCATAAAAAGAGGAAACTGGCCTTTTTCCCAAATTCTCAAATTCCTTGACTAATTTTAATGTGTTCTTCTCCAACACAGAGATCTGAGCAACAACCAGATCTCAGAGATAGCTCCTGATGCCTTCCAGGGGCTGCGGTCCCTCAACTCCTTGTAAGTAGCCCCGAGCTGAGCTTGTGCATGAGGAGCCACTGGGCTGTCATATTCTGACTAAAGCGAGTCTGTGTTGTGATTTTGCAGAGTGCTGTATGGAAATAAGATCACCGACCTGCCTAAGGGGGTGTTTGACGGCCTCTATGCATTACAACTTCTGTAAGTGGATTACAAAGACATACACACACACAGACACACACACACACAAGACACTCTGCGGGCATATATTCAATACCAAGCACCCTGTACTCCTACTCAGTAAAGAAGTCATAACCTTCAAATAAACTTTGTTCCTATGCATAGTTTTCTAGATGGAATGTATAATGAATGAATACATAAAAAAATTCTGACAAGTTGCTTTTTCCTTCTTCCCTCCCTCCTTTTTTTCTACTTTTCTTTTCTTCCTCCTTCTCTCAGGTTGCTGAATGCCAATAAGATTCACTGCGTTCGTGCCAACGCCTTCCAGGACCTGCAGAATCTCTCGCTGCTATCGCTCTATGACAACAAGATCCAAACCCTCGCCAAGGGCACCTTCACTTCACTACGAGCAATACAGACCCTGTGAGTGAAACACACACACACTGAAACACACACACGCTGCTGTACACGCTCTGACATATACTGATCCGTTACCATAAAACATGAGCCAACACAGGAGTTGTTTACTTGCAAGTCTGTGTAATAACACAGGAATGGAATCACGAGGTAGAGAGGTGAGTAAATCTATCATCGTCACAAACACCCAGACACACACACACACACACACACACACACACACACACACACACACACACACACACACACACACACACACACACA